CCCCACTCGCCCCACTGCCGCACCGCATGAGCAGTGCTTATGCGATTTCATCTTCGCTTGCCAATGCACCGTGGACGCTCTGGGAATTCCTCTCCGGATCTGGCCTTTGCACGTCTCTGCGATACCGGAGACCGCCCACCGAAGGCTCCCGCGGGCCTCCCGGAGGAGACTTCGCTTCAAAGCAAGGGATCGGGGGGGCGCAGAGAGGTGGGGCAGGGCAAGAGGAGGGGCTGGAGGAATATCGCTCTGGGCGGCAAAGGTGCGGTTGGAGGAATATCGCTCTGAGCTCTGGACGGCCCAGGGAGGAAACCATCGGCCTCACGCTGGGTGGGCTCCCTCCCCAACCTCGCCGTGGGATCGACTCCCTCTACGTGCTCTCAAAAGGGGGCGCCGTCGGGGGACCACGTAATGCCCCCGTGGCGATGCCCCGTGCCAAGCCAGGGAGCGGTGCCGAACCGCGAGACGTCCAAGGTATGCGCGTGGGCCTGGTGACCAGTGACATCAGGTTCGTCAAGATCAGGATCAGGATCATCGCCAAGATCGGTGAAAGATGGCAATCACCATCATCGCCAACATTACCGACTCTGACCAATCCGAACAAGCCTCGGCGATGGTGGGCACGTTCTTCTGGCCACTCCGAGTGGCGGTTCCGCAACTTTCATTCAACGCACTGCGCGGCCGCTGGAGGGCAAGACCTGAATGAGGACGGAGAAGATGAGTACGATGCCTCACTGCGGATGTAGTCCAAAACAGACAGGGGGGCACTGTCTGGTCGACGACGGTTGTTCTGGATTCAAATTCCGCGGCGACACCGACAGCGAACCTGGCTGAAAGTGGACAAGAATTGCGATCGTCGCGAACTGCCTGGGAAACACACCACGAAGTTGGGAGGGAGATGAGGACCAATCAGTGACACATCGACACCTCTATTTTCGGCCATGCACCGCGAGTACGAGGATGAACAGCTGCGAGAGAGAGCAGCAGAAGCATGGCGCGTATCTACTTGAGCAGCGGTCGAGCTCCCCGTTGCGCGCGAACCTCGTTGGGATCCCTCACCTGGAACGCCCCATTGGCTACGCCAGGCGATACCGGCGGACGGGACTGAAGAACGCCAGAGAGAATACAAGACTCTTCCAAGGGCAAGCGATGCTTCAGGCATGAAGGGGGCTTTGAACGCGAAAGCAAGGACACAAGGGCCGTTAAGGGCTTAGCATCTTCTGCTGTCCCTCGACTCACGCTGTAGCGTCCACGAATTGCTCCAGATTTCCCTGGCGATCTGTAGATTTTTACCTCGGTGTATCTGTATGCACCTTGATGTATCTGAATTGTCCTTGTTTTACATGGCTTGCTCCCCGCAAATCTGTTGCAAAAAATCGTTGAGCCCTTGAAGAAACGGAACTCGTGGTCTTGCAAGAACGGCCTACTGATCAGAACCGGCCATGTCACACAGGCACAGAGGCACGTCCGAGTGCGGAGGAGGAACTCCTGACCCCAACCATCTGCTCTCTCAGCCCCGAGGTCCGCGAGCGCCCCCCAAAAAGGCTCGAGGCGACCAACAACATGTTGAGATATCAAAACGATTAGCCTCTCTCAGTCCGTGGGCCAGAGAATTCTCGAGCACTTCCCCTGCGGCAATTTCTGCCGTCCAGAATCCACCACGATTTCGGTGGGGGAACAACGAAGTATTGGAGGCCTGGAAATGGGCACCAACACCAAAACAGAGGGTTGCCTCCATAGGGGGAAGATGATCCTAGATTTCGGTGTTGGTGGTACTGTTTCGGTCACCCTGGAAGCCAAATGTTACCACCATCACCGAGATCGGGATTTTCTTCCCTCGGTGGAGGCACACCGCCGATATTGGTGTTGGTGTCAACCTCTAGGCCTGCGAAAGTACCAATCTCTCTGCGCCCAGGGCCAATCGTGGGGTGCGTCCTGGCTAGCACTCCAGGCGAGAGCCCGGCGGTGGCGACGAGGGACAGGTGGCGGGGCGACGTGCCTTCCCCCCCCGGTGAGTTCCACTTCTGGGCCCCAAGGCCTCCCCCCTCTCTGAATGGGAGGAAAACAAACCTGCCTCGCTTTTGACCACCCTCGCTTCCAAGAGATACCACACGATGCCAAATGGCAGCCTGTACTGGTCAGGCCGCTTGACGAGGAGGCGCGTGGTATGGCTTGGGTTTGCCTGGAAGCGAAAGCGGGGCAGGTAATTCACGCTCTGACCGAAGGTCGCCCAAATGCGGTCCGAGCAGATGGGATCGGAAGATCTCGCCGCATCGCTCATGCATCGGCAATGTCGGGGTGTAACAACTCGGGCTCCGACTCGAGCCGTGGCCGATGCCTCAGCCGCCGCGACCCGACAAGGGATCCTCAACCCTTCGGCGCAACGCGGTGCTCCTCCCAGAGCCCCTAATGCGTAGATCGCAAGCCTCACCCATCGTAACCACACAGTGCTGAGCATGGGGCAAACGGGTCCTGAGCAAAACGGGTCCTGGACCATGGGGCCTTCCCCCAAGTCGAGATCTTCATCCTGAATTGTTTTCTGACAGTCCCGGGGCCCGTGGAGGGCAACAGGAAGCCCAAAGCGGGGAAAAACTTCAGGACCCGTTCCCCTCAGGACCAGTTTCCCCCATAGCGAAGATTATAACCGCCGAGCTCGGGTGGCCTGGATCCTCCTTCAGGCTCGGTCCGAAGCGCCACAGGGCTCGACGACCGCTGCCCCCCTCGGCTATTATCGTGCTCTCCGGTGCCGCGGGGTGGGGCTTCGCCCGGACCCCCGCCCAGCCGGGCGGTTAAGGCTGCCACATGCGAAGCATCCTGATGAAACGGCGTATGTACAGGGGAGGGGAGGACGAGGAGGAGCAGGAAGAACATGATGATGCAGAAGACGATTGTGGTGATTTCGTCCACCGCCAATGGCTCTCGGTCATGGTTTGGTGGTGGTGATGACAGCACGTTTTCGAAGCGTGGCGACCTGCCGCGCGGCTCGGAGGTGCTTATGCAGGCTTGGGAGGAGTGGGAGGAGGTTCGCGGATCGACACTCTGCGATCGAGACTTTTGGGCGTCATTGGACCTTCTCGGGCCTTTGGGGAACTGCACTCCCGAGGCTTTTGGCGACCTCTGCAGACCCCCCAGTGGCCAGAGCCCTCCAGAGAGACCTGATGATGATCCACATGTTGCCTCGTGAATGAACGTCCTCCAAAGGACGCGGGTGGACACCAGCGAGGGGAGAGCTGGACACAGCGAGGGGAGATCAGTGAGTGGGAAGACGAGGGGAGGGATGGGGAGGAGGGGGGGAGGGCAAGGAACAGAAGAGAGGAGGAGGAGTCCGCAGAGAGGACGGAATGGGGATGTGGATCAGGGCGACGGGAAAAAAGGCCAAGCTGGGCACGCTCGCGCCACCTCTGGCATCCAACGCCGTCCCTATACCTCCAAACCATCCCTTCAATGGCGTACCTATTGCAACTATCCGACGGCTGGTGTCATAAAGGGCTTGCCCCCCCCCCCCCCCCCCAAAAAAAAACACCACTGTGCATTCGCAATCACAGAAGGGGAGTGGCGTGCACTGGAGGAGGAGGTTGCGCATGAGCGCGAAAAGTGAGCAGGAACAGGAAGAGATGATGAGCAAGGAGGAAGACGAGGAATATCATCAGCAGGAGCAGGAATGGGAGAAGCAGGAGGAGCAGGAAGCCCAGGCGAAGGCGGGGGATGGAAAGGGAGCGGGACGACGATGAGGAAACGCTCGGATAAACTGGCTCGCGTTGGGGAGAGCGCCAGACTGAACGATGGGAGCAAAGTGCCGATCCGAAACAGATGCCAACGCTGCAGCAGGGGTACCACTTTGAGACACCGAAAGCGCTTCGAGTCAAAAACACATGGGACATACCAAGCCATGACATCCGATGTCCCCCAAAAAACAGCACGCATAGGCGACGGGCTACTCCCTGGCCATTTTCGGGGGAGTGAGGCGGGGAGAATGGGCCAACGCAGGATTAACAAACGCACCTTTGCGCCATCCCAAACCGCGGACAAAGTTTACTAAAACGACGGGGAAAATTCGACGATTCGCTTCCTCACAGCAGCCCTCTGAGTGCTCCCCTGCTGGAGGTTACTATCGGCGATCCTGGCTCAGGGGCCCCAGTATATACACCACATCCAGGCGGCCATAGGAAAGGAACGAATCCTGCGCGCGACCGCCCTGACAGGGGTGCCACTACCTGCCCCCGCCAAGCACAAGTACTTGCCACGTGGTCATGCGCGCAGATGGCGGCCGCATTCGGTCGCAACAAATTGCTCCCAAGCGCCCTATGGCAACACGGTGGTGATGTAGAAAAACGATGGACAACCCGGGAATGTTATACACTCCCCCGAAATATACACCACGTGAATGTGTTGTTTCTTACGTATGCAACCGCGTGCTCAAATGACGCTGCACTTGCGACATGTCATGATTGCGAGATTTGACGCACCCTGCAACCGACCGCCGAAACAATAATCCGATCAGCCCCCATGACAAAACACCAGCTCGCGGTGGTGATGTATATGCGTGGGTCCCGGACCAAAGTTCCCCTAACTTTTCGTGTCATTTCCGAGCCCATGGCGCCGTCTGGGCTTCGTGGAGGGTGCTCTGGAGGCCACCTCGGCCCCTGAGAGAACTGGGGCCACCTTAGTTCAGGATCACCTGTGACGACATCTATTCCTGGGCCGTTTCCTGACAGACAGGCCGAACAGAACTCTCGCACGATTGTTCTTGAGCCGCCGGGGGCCACGCGTGGAATGACTGGAGAAAAGGCGATGCATCGGGATGAAGGAGGGAAGGAGGAAGGGCAGGAGGGAGAGCCAAGGGACGGGCTGGGCAGCTGGATGCAAGCGGGGTGCCCGAGGCATCACGCCAGATCGGTGGCGTCCTCTTGCCGACCGCCTGCAGCGGCCGAGTGCACGGAGGCACCCAGAGAGGCCTCTGCAAAAAAAACGCACTGGCGGGGCCGCGGGCCGTTCGGAGGGGCTCAATGCGCTTTCTCCTGCGTGCGGCCGGCATCGGTCTGTGCACGCACTCGCCTCCCTGACGCTGACCACGGCAGCTGTTGCACTCACGCGCTCCGTTCGTGCAGTCGCGGTCAACTGCTGCCTCCCGTGGTCCCTCCCGCCCTGCCCCTGCACGTTCCCAGACGTCCGGAGGGCCAAGCTCTCCCGAGGAAGTGGCTATCGACTCTCGACCCCCTCCCGCAGGACTGGTGCTTCGCCCCGGATCAATCTGCGCATCTCGGGGCCCGAAACAGACCTCAGGATGCCCAGCAGGCGAACGTTGCCTTGTTCGGCGTTTCGACATTGGGCGGAAGGGGAGGGGGAGGGGGGGTGGTCTGGCTCTGGACCTCTGCTTGATGCGACTGTTTGCAACAGTGCGTCCTGTGGGGGAGGCTCCACCTGCTTGAAAAAGGCGCCAGAAGCAGCCAGGATCTACTCCACGGGGCGGGAGGAGGGGGCGCGAGGGCCCGCGCCGATCGGCAAAACAATGAATCTGAAAAAGATCAACATGGCGAAAAGCCGGGCCGTCTGTGCTTCTGTTGGAGCCGCCAGCTGTCTGCGCTGCTGCAGACTTCTGGGGAGGCAGGCACCTCGACCATGGCGCCGAGCCGACACTGCAGGCGAGGGAGCGGAGCGGGGGGAATGTAGCGGACATGCGGCCCAGTTAGAACGAACATTCGCAGCCAGTCGGAGGGCTAACATCATGTGTGAAGGGGCCCCAGGACACACAAATGAATACACACACAAATAAACATATTCCCTATATTTTCCCGTATGTTCTGGGTGTTTGTCTTCCTGCCCCACCACTTCCCATATTTTCCCATATGTTCTGGGGAATCGACGATTAATTGTGTGTGTGTGTTTCTTTCCCTCCTGAATGTAGCATATCGCTCTCGTATCTCATCGTCCGCCTGCTGTCTTGCCACTCGATTTCGTCGACCATGGCCATGCCATGCAGCTTTGATTTCTTTTGTGCCATGGTCCTGCCGTGTTTTGTGGCTTCTTCGCTGTCGTTGCTACGCTTGGTTGCGATGTGGCTGCGCGACGGCGCGAAACTGGTGATACATGTTCAGCCGTGGAATATTCAGCGAGCGAAGAACGGTATAAAATAAACTTTTTCGCCGTCGGGGACACCTGCCCCAGGGCGGCTGGAAAATTTCTACCCTTACGGTGGCACCTTACGAAAAAGTTCATTTTATACCGTTCATCGCCCCTTAAAATTTATACACACCGCTCTGTTCGACATGTGTCTGCCATGGCATCTGTCACTTCAAGTTAGTCGGTGCTGCGCTGTTGTGCTCAAACCCGTCTGGGTTGGCTTCTCGTTCTGAACAGAACACCGCTGCCCCATTCTCTTCCCGCCCCGCCTCCCTCCGTCTCCCTCCTCCTGCTTCCTACCTGCTACCTGCCTACCTGCCGCTAATTTCCTTCCTACCTCGCCCTCGGTGGGGGTTGCGACATGCGAAACCGACGCCACTTTCGCGCGCTCGAGGCAGGCCCAACGGGGCGACGTCTTATATGAATCACAAGGAGGCCTCGCGTGTTCCTATGTGTTTACAATCCGACGCTTTCGTTCCACCTCCGCGCGTGGTTTCTACACAGATGATGTGCACTAGCTGTGTGTTGCTTGTGCGTTTCCCAATCCAGATGTTGTCGGTCCTTCCAAACATTCGATCTCACTTCGCTTTTTACCTTCACGTCCGGTCCAAACGAACACCCCCAACGACCCATTTTTTTCACGAGAACCACGGTCGACGCGGGACGGTCACCGGTGATCCGCTGGGGTCACCAACGAGTGGGCAGAGCTGGCAAGCCCAGGACGCACCCAGAAGATCGACTCACTGTTCGAGGGACCCCGTGCCATGCCATTACGGGCCGTGCGGCGTTGTGTTCTGTGCGGCTGCTCTCGGATGCCATGCCTTGCGGTTCAATGCTTTGTGATGTAACGGTTCAACACGCAACGCCACGCCACCCCATGCTCTGACGTGCTACGCTCTGCCGTATTCTTCTAGGCAATACCATGCCGTGCTCTACCATGCGTCGCGTACCCTCTCGGGATCATTGTCCTGCTCGACATCCGACTGCCGACATTGTCCTGCTCGACATCCCACAACCGACATCTACGCCATGGTGAGGGATGGGAAGGGTAGGATGTCAGATATGACGCGAGCGCCCCTAGCTTGTCCCCCTGCCGTTCTATTTATATATATATATATATATATACCTCCGCTCCTCCTCATCCTCCTCCTCCGATTCCTCCTCCGTCCTCCCCCTCTTGGGGAATGACGTCTTACCCCATCCTTTCGTCTAGTGCGTGTTCCTCCACATCCCTGATCAAGCCAACTCTTCTGGGCATCGTTTCTGGATGGGCTGGTGGTGTTGCGCGAAGCGTCTAGAATATATATATATATATATATATACATACACATATATATATGTATATATATGGCATACAGGAGCGTGTACCCCGCCACAGGAGAGGTCAGAGGGGGCCCTTTACAATTCTGGGGCTCACATTAAATGATGATGCTCTGAATCACAGCACCCGGTCTGGAACACGCCACTGCGCAAACACTCACATTGAAGCACCAAACGCTCGCATTGCGCAACACATTCACCTGCAGTACACGCTTCGCGGCAACAGCTCAAACCCACTGGCCTTACATTCAACGTGTGAAGTACTATCGACAAGAGGGCGCGCTATGCGTCAACAATGATCGAGCCAGTCCTGGCTAATCCAGATGACGTCGCCCGTGACCTCGTCCGAGTCATCGAGAGGCCGCACAGCGTGGTCACGACCAGCGGGCTCCCGGAACACCGGTGCCTCCGCAGACATGGAGACGTCGGCGGCACACGACAGCAGGCCGCGGTCCAGGAGCAGCGCCCGCAGCTCCCCGGCGGTGAGCGGCCCGCCCCGCCTCGGCGGCTCCGAACGGCGTGGCTTGCACAGGGTGCGGCTTGCAACCCGCGCCCTGGGGCGCGGGCGAGGACCTCGGCAGAGCTCTCCGCCGCGCCCCCGGGAGGCCCGTTGAGGGCAGCGTGGTGCCTCCCCCCCAGCCCCAGCGACGCGGCTCGCAGACCACACCCCGGCGCAACCACACCCTCTGCGGTTGCCGACCACCGCCCCGTCAGCGGCACGAGCGTGCGGAAGTCCACCCCCGACAAGGCAAGGCGGACCGTCAGCAGCCGCGCCTGGCGCGCTGACGCGGGCAGCGCTGACGACGGCGGCCGCCCTGTCTGCCACCCTCCCTGCTGCAGCTGCGCCTGCGGCTGCTCGGGCCGCGCCGCCAACGGCAGCTGCTCCTGCAGCGTCACCGACGGCAGCGGCGCCGGCTCCGGCTGTGGCTGCTGCTGCTGCTGCGGCTGCAGCTCTGGCTCCGGCAGCTGCTCGAGCGACTCGGTGGGCTGCTGCGCCGTGGCCGTGGCAGGGGCCAGCCCTGCTGGCTGCTCGGGCAGCTGCTCTGGTGGCGGACGCGTGCGCAGGACCTCCTCCTCCTCCTCCGCCTCCTCCTGCAGCTGCTGCGCCTCTGGGGACGACACATGACCCCCGCATGCGTTTGGGGCCCCGCTGGCAACCCGTATGAAGCTGGCCACAGTATTGAGCGTAATGGGGGGAACCGATTAAAAAAATCGCCCCCCCCCCCGGACCCCCCAAAATGATTGAATGGGGCTGACTAATAGAATTCGGCCGCCGGAAACTGTTTTTTTTTATCGTCCGCCCCCCCGCGTTTGCTTTTGCCCCATTGGGGGAACTGATTTTCTATTCGTCCTCCTTCGCTCGCTTGATCACCCGCCGCCGCGGGGGGAGGATTGCGGAGGGGGCACGGGGTAATTAGGGAGTAGCTGAGGGAAGGGGTTTTCGAAGAGGCGCTTGATCACCCGTCCTTGCGGACGGCCGCCGGTCGGCCTTGCGGACGGCCGCGGCGATTGGGAGGTGGGGGCAAGGGCAGAAGGAGGAGGAGGGGGAGGAGGAGGAGGAGGAGGAGGAGGAGGAGGAGGAGGAGGAGGAGGAGGAAGAGGAGGAGGAGGAGGAGGAAGAGGAGGAGGAGGAGGAAGAGAAGGAGGAGGAGGAGGAGGAGGAAGGAGGAGGAGGAGGAGGACGAGGACGAGGAGGAGGAGGAGGAGAAGAGGAGAGGAGGAGGAGGAGGAGGAGGAGGAGGAGGAGGAGAGGAGAGTAGAGGAGGAGGAGGAGGAGACGAGGAGGAGGCGGAGGAGGAGGACGAGCTCGCCCTGAAAAATCACCCCGTCCACCCCCCTGGCCCGCGCGCCGTGGATCGCCACCGCATGCCCCCGCCCCCCCCCCCCCCCCGGCCTTCCAGGCAACCCGGAATTGTCAGCCCCCCGTCTGCCTGCCCTGCCCCCCCCGCTATTGCGGGGGCGAGGAGGCCCGCGAAACAATTTGTTTCATCGTCCGCCCCAGAAAGTTTGTTTGTAATCGTTTCCCCCGAGTACGGCGAAGTCCTGGCTTGTCGCGCTGTCACCGCGTGAGCCATTCACTCTGGAACGATAATTACGAGCCGTCGGCGGTTCGCTAGAGACCGTCGTAGACCTTCAACCTTGCACGCCAACGACCGCGCCGCCGCCGCCGCGCCGAGGTGCCACGAGCCTGAAGAGGACTGGGGCGTGCCATGACCTGACGAGGCTCGGCATCGCCGGCGTGGCGTGGGTGGCTCTTTGCCCCTGGGCGCCCGAGGCTGCGATGGCGGCCGCGATGGCGGCCGCCCGACCGCACTGTGCAGCGCCTGCGCAGGCGGCCGCTCAGCTGGCTGAGCGCAGCCGGCTGCGACGGCAGCTGGCGGCGGCCGCGCTCCCACGCCGCCAGGGTGTGCTGGCCCGCTGGGGTCGCGCGCCTGGCGGGGCGGGAGCGCCTGGCCCTTCGAGGCCCGTCGGCGACGGACGACGCACGACGCACGACACACGACGGACGCCGGCGACGACGACGACGACGACGACGACGACGACAGTGGCGGCGGCCCTGCCGTCGCCGTCGTCGAAGTGGGGGGGGGGCCAGGAGCGGGAGGGCAAGGCGGAGTGCCAAGAGGAGGGGGCGGGGCGTGCCGGGCGGGTCGCACAGGCGCCCGTGGACTATGAACATGGGGGGGGGCGCGGGGGGGCGGGGCGAGGCCCGCGAAAGACCCCAGCCCGCTCCGCATCCAAACCCGTGGCTTCCGCCGAGAACGAAGGAGCCAGGGCGGCTGGAGGCGGCGAGGAAGACGAAGCGGATCGAGCCAGTCCACTGGCTGCCGCTTAAGAAGGGGAAGTGTGGGATGGGCGAGGACGAGGGAGGAGAGGCGGATGAGGAGGGATGGGGACGAGGGGGATGATGAGCAGGTGAAGGAGGAGGAGGGGGAGGAGGAAGAGGAGGCGGAGAATTGGGGGGCGAGAGAGCAGGGAGCGGGGCGGCCGAGACAAACGCGCGTGCCGAGTTCACGAGTCAGGCAGGCAAGGAGCGCAGGGGACATAACGAGAGGCACTTTCCACAACAGAGCGGCAGCGATCGAAAGATCGAGAGGCAGGTAGAAGAGGAGTGTACGGAGGAGGGGAGTGGGCGAATGAAGTTACCATAGGAGAGGCGGGGGAGGACGGGGATAAAGGGGGGGACAGGAAGGGGGAAGATCGGCAGAAGGACGAGGAGTAGGAGGACACTCGCCAGCCCCAGCGTGGGGTCAACAAGGTTGTGAAGACGTGAGTATCAGGTGTCAGTACTTGGAAACATTGGTAACAATTAGCGCGATGATACCATTTGCAAAGTTCTTACAGTATGAGGAACTGCGAAGTTTGGCAGTCAGGACTTTCCTGAGCTCCCACATCAAGATCAGAAACACCATTATGTGCAAGTGCTCAATCATTATGTTTCGAACTTTCCAGACGCGCGCGACCCAACTCGGAACCGCATCTTCAGAATCCCTGAGTGCCCTATGAGTAACAAGATGCCAACGCCCCCCAAGAAACCTCCCCCGTAAGAAGTTAATGGTCCACGTCCCCGAGGCACCAAGCCCTCGTAAAACTGGGAGGGCCCTGCGTTCCTGGTTGCTGTTTCCTGTTATTCCCACCGACGAAAGGCTAGATACACCCACGCTGCTGAGGCCCAAGTATTGTATGAGAAACCAACAGGTCTGCCCTCCCGAGATTTGGACCCTTGTGAAAAACACGGTGCTCCGCTCAGTGGGGCGTGACCCCGGTGAAGAAGCATGAACCTGAGCGCCCTGTGCCACGACTCATCAAAAGAAGAAGAAGCAGAAGCAGAAGAAGAAGAAGAAGATCACTGGATGTACTCCCAACGAGGCTGGGCCTTCAACGATGATAATGAACATTGAGGCAGGAGTGATAGCAGGAGCAAGGGGGTCGGGATAGCGGGAGGAGGCCTGGAGGTTAGGGACGATGACTGGGGGATGGAAGATGTGATTCCCTCCTTGAAAAACAAGAGGTGCACGAAGGAAGAGGCGCCCGCAGCATCGCGCGAGTATTCCGTGCACTCCGTGGCGATGCGCGGCAGAAGCTGACCAGTGGCTCACTGTACAGCAACATCCCAGAAGTAAAAACGCACTGGCGAAGAGATGAGAAGGGAGGAGGATGCGGGGAACGAGTTAGCATCTGTACCAAGCTCGCTCTACGAGCGCACGCCGTTGCGCGTGCATCGACCTCGCCGCGCAGAGCCCCCTGCTTCTGGCAAGATGCCCTCCGTCGGGACGCGGTGCGCCAGACCGAACAACACACACAAACTAAGTCGAGGAAGAGGGAGGAGGACTTGGAGGGCAGGAGGAGGAGAGCAGGAGGGGGAAGGGGAGGGGGATGGAGGACGTGTGAGGGCGGAGAATCCTTTTCCGTTTCCTCTTCCTCTTCCTCCTCCTCCTCCTCCTCCTCCTCTGCAAAGACAGCAGATACACCACTACCACCATGCTTGGCCAAGGCCCTCCTTGGCCATGTAATGACATGTTACGTAGTGCACACGCCGTCCTGGCACCAGCCAGGAGGATGAACTCGCCATCCTGAAGCCAAGGATGCTCCTGACCAGGCATGGTGGTGGACAGGACCCGTCGGAGTATCCTCCGCATCTTTCCACTTCGAAGTGTTTCTGCCCCCACCTGCCCAGAACGCCTCTGACTTTGTCACTGCCGTCGGCACTGACGCGCCGCCCTCGGATGACGCACGCTCGAGGCTGCTGAGCCCCATGACGAACACCGTCCGCCTTCCGCCGAGCTTCTCGTCGTCGTTGTAAGATGTGAAGCCGCTGGAGGCCGCTGCTTTTGAATGAGTCACCTACTGCTGCCCGTTCGGGATGAGTACGGCAAGCTAGTGTCGCGATGACATCGGCGATGGTTTCTGACACAGAGCAGATCGTGCAGCCGTGAGACACCGCGGCTATCCGATAATGCAGATCGTTCGATATCGGGCGACTCTGGTCCACTGGCGGCGTTCAACGTTGAACGCCCGAGCTGAGGTCGTCGCCGTGTCAATGGAGCGCGAATCAACAGTACATGTCTTTCTAAAAGTGGTAAATTGCGGAACGCGCAGCGCAAATCCCGGGGCCGCATGTTGATGCGCTGGAGACGCGCGACCTACGCCGCTGTATCGGACAAGAAGCAGTACGCTGCACCAGATCCAGGCCATGGACATGCAATCGGTGCAAGGCATGCGTAGGTGGAACTAACGCCACTCAGAGACGATTCAAGATGCCGCGCCGCTACTATCCGTTCGCATCGTGATCCCACTACTCTATCAGTATCCCTCTCTGCTGCGGCTCCTCCCGATTATTCTCGTCGTCCGTCTCCTCCCACTCCACCTCGGGATCCTCTTCATCTCTTACATTCTCCCCCCCTCCTATTCGCCTCTTGCACTCTTCCTCCACCCATACCTCACCCCGTCTTCCTCGCCATCCTCACCTCCCCTCCGCTATCTCCCCCCTCGCTTCGTCCTCTCCCATGCAGTCTCTTGCCCCTCTCCCCTCCCCGTGCTCCTTCTCTAGCATTCGCCACGCCGCATCGTACTTATTCGCATCCTCATCCACCGCCTCTCTCCCATCTTCTACCATCCCCATGGACGCCCAACATGTGGACGGAAAAGATGGGCACAATGCCCAGCAGCACATGTTCCCAAACCTACAACGGCCGCTGTTAGGCAGGTACGCTTGTCTCAAACCGACAATGTCCGCGGAGACGCCGACAACTACTCTGGTTCAAAATGGGCAAGAACTGCTGTCGGTCTTCGTCTCCCTTCTTTCCGTGCCCAATTCGATCGTACCGAATCCCCGTCCCTTGAGCATGGGGGGAACGGGCCCTGAGGTAAACGGGTCCTGGACCCTGGTGCTTTCTCCTGGGACGATCTTTTCAGCCCGAGTCGTTCTCTGACAATCTTGGAGCCCGTGGCTGAGTCCGAATACGGCGAAAAAACCTCAGGACCCGTTTCCCTCAGCACCCGTTTCCCCCATGGCGATCTGGAGCCGGGAGGTCGAGGATTGATCCACCGGCCTGTCCTGCGGCTCCAGCCGCAGTGACGAGAAGCCAGCCAAAGACCCAGATAGGGCGAGAGACGTGGACAAGGAACCTCTATGCTGGCCCCTCGAACCTCAAACCTCGACCCTGCTGCATGGCAAAAGCGGCGGCACGGCCGCGCAGAGGCCCTCTCCCGTCACCCCACTTTGGCGGTGCGCACAAGGCGGAAGTGGGAGGGGGGAAAACTTCGTAGGAGGCTGCTTCTTAGAAGTCGCCGGCCCTACATCTACAGACAGGGCCCACGCCTTCTGAGAAGCAGGGGTGTCCTCAAGAAGCCTTCCCCCCTCCCCCTCCCCGCGGCTGCGCTTGGCCGACCATTCCGCCTCCGCCCGATCCTCCCCATCGCCCGGCCTCTGGGAGAATGCTCGACGCGCATGGGAAGCACAAATATCAGATGCATCGACGCCAACGGCAGGCCCGGCAGCAATCTCTCATGGGCAGTCGGAGCCGAAGGCCACAAGCAGCGTGAAGGCGAATGAGAACGGAGCGGAACTTCACGAGACCACCATTGACACCCATACCATGGTCGCCAATACCTCATTGGGTGGCACGGACGACTACACACACACCAACGTTCTCGTGTCGGGCGGGCGGTGACTGCGAATGTAAGGGCTCCCAACTTCGCGCTTCGCGCTGCGCGAAGCGCGAAGTGCGAATAACTTCGCGCTCTCGCGCCGCCTCCCAGGGGAGAAGAGGAGGACGAGGAGAAATCGGAGCCGAACCGCGAAGCGCGAATAACTTCGCGCCCTCAAGGGCGCCCTTGGAATGACGTCGGCGCTCCCTCGCGACCAGCACCGCAAAAAACGCCCGACGCGCCTGCGGCCCACCCGCTGCACGAGGCGCGCCGACCTCGAGATGCCCGGCCGCCCCAGGGAGGACGCGAGCGCCGCCTCGCGGAGGGGCCACGGCGGGGCGCCGACAGCGGGGCGGAGAAGGGAGGACGACTAGAGGCCTCCTAGATGGGGTCGGAGTAGATGGGGTCGGAGGATCGCGCCGCATCGCCGATACATCGCCGATGCATCGGCGATGCATCGGCGATGCACTGGCGATGCATGGTCGACGTCGGCGATATGTCCGAGACGTCGGCGTGGAGAAAATCGGGCCCCGCATCGGGCCGCATCGCCGATACATCGGCGATGCGGCGCGATCCTCCGACCCCATCTACTCCGACCCCATCTGGGAGGCCTAGAACGACGGGGTCTGCGGCGAGCGAGGGAACAGAGAGGGAGAAAGCCTCCTCCGAAAGCCGGCGGGACCTCTCAGGAGCCCTCGCGCCACCATCTGAGGAGTCTTCTGTGTCGTTCCAACACTCTCGAAATGCTGAAAGAGACGAGGGGGGGGGGCTTGCGAGCCTTCTGATAGGCCCCCTCCTCACTTCCCCCCGCCCGGGCTCGCCGCCGAGAGACGGGAGGACGAGCTGCGCGCGCCACACCTGGCATCCTGCCCCGCCCACCCCCCACTCCCGATGGCGCGGATGGTCCTCCCTCGGGCAACTGGCGTCCCGGTGGGCCAGGATCCTCCGAGTGGGCCAGGAAGATGAGATGGTGGATGAGCATGATGATGGCCAGGAGGACAAGGAGAAGGATGAGGAAGGAGGAAGAAGAGTCATCAGGGTGAGGAACGAGAAGGAGGAGCAGCAGCAGGAGCAGGAGCAAGATGAGCGGGAGGAGGACCAGGGGAAGGCGGATGAGGGGAAAGGAGGGGGGCGACAACTGCAACAAGTAATCAGGTCCAGAAATATAACCCGCCCTTGGGCGAGAGCGCCATTCTGCACGACGGGAGCGAAACGCCTATACTGAACTGAGGCCACCGCTGCAGCGGCACCAGCATCTGGAACAAACACATAAACGAACGCTTCGAACTCGACCAGCCCTCTGGGCGTGAGTGGTTCTGGGAAGTTGATCTTCCAACCTCACTAATTCCCCTTCGGGAGGGGTTTATCATTGTGCCTTATCCGCCACGCGAAGCTGGGCACGGAGTGGGCGTGTCCTCAGGTCCTTTGCCCAATCCCCTGAGCTTCAGTTCTCAGTCCTGAAGAGTTGCTTAGGGGCCCAGACCCGAACTTCTCAAGTGTGTTTGGGCTTGGCGCGGTTCCACTGGGCCCGTCGCGTCTTCCCACATTCACTGTTCGAGCCCAAGGGGGCTCTAAGACAGGCCAAGAAGACCCCAAGAGGCCCCCAAGACGGCCCAAGAGGGCCCGGAATCGCCGAACGATCGCTCCAGGACGCCCAATATGGCCCCAAGACGGCCCAAGAAGCCTCCGAGACACCCCAAGGGAGACCCAAGCGCCTTTCCAAGGGGGCCCCGAGAGGCCGAAACCATTGATGTTCAATCGGTTGTGGATTGTCTTTAGGGGTTCGTTTCTTTTCTATAGGCTCCAGCGCTCCAAGACGTCCCAAGCGGACCCCAAGACCGCCCACAGGACGGCCCAGGAGGCCACGGCCCACGTGGGCTCCGAGACGGCACCACGAGGCCCCCAGGACGGCCCCCACGGGGAGCGCAGACAGAAAAGTGTGGCCTTCTGCCCGAAGAGGCGCCCAGAAGGCCCCAACAGGCATGAAAGAAGCCCAAAGAGGCCCCCAAGATGCCCCCCAGGCGGTCCCAAAAAGCCCCCAAGAGGCTTAGACGAGGCCGTCTGGAGGCCCCAAAACAGCCCCCGCTCGTGCCTCCCCCAAGAGGCCTCGACGAGATCCTCAAAACGATCCAAAAGGCCTCAGACACACAACCCAGGCACGTTGGCGGGCAGGAACTTGCCCGATCTGGCGCATGGCACCCTTCGCTCTTGGGAGCCTTGGCGTTAAGAGCTTGTTGCGCCACCGCTCTCTGTTGGGAGTCCTGGTGGTCACATAATGTTACGTTGCCGCTCGCTCTTGGATGCCTTGCTGTTAAGGGCTTTTTACGTCACTGCGCTCTTGGGAGCCTTGGTGCTGAGAGCGTGTTACGTCACCGCTCGCTGTTGGGAGCCCTGGTGGTCACATAATCTTACGTTGCCGCTCGCTCTTCGGTGCCTTGCTGTTAAGAGCTTTTACGTCACCACGCTCTTGGGAGCATGGGAGTGCAGAGCTTGTTGTGTCACCGCTCGCTGTTGTGAGCCATGGTGTCTCTGGGGCTTCCTGGGAGTATTGTGGGACCCCTTTCGGGCCGTTTTGGGACTCGTGGGCCCGCATTGGGCCAGCCCAGTCCCCACGCCCAAGCAGCCCAGTCCCCATACCGCCTCTTCGGGCCCTCTTGGGAAGCCTCTTGGGGCTTGGGGCCGTCTTGGGGCCCTCTTGGGCCGTCTTGCGGCCCTCTTGGGCCGTCTGGGGACTCTCTTGGACCGTTTTCGGCTCCTTTTGGAGGCCTCTGGGGCCGCCTCGGGGCGATCTTTGGCACGCCTGGGGGCCCTCTTGGACCGTTTTCCACCCTTTGGGCCGCCTCTGAGACCGTTTTGGGAGGATCTTTGGGGCCTCTTGGGACGTCGGGGGCCCTTCTGGACCTTAAAAAGGGAGAACCTGAAACACCTGTAAAAACCAATGGCAATTCAATGCTGTTCGCCTCATCAGGCCCTCCTTCGGGCCTCTGGAGCCGTCTCGAGGCTCTCTTGGACCGTCTGGAGGCCAAGCTCTCTTGGGGCCGTCTTGGGGCCCTCTGGGGCCGTTTCGGGGCCCTCTTGGGCCGTCTTGGGGCCTCTGGCCGCTTCACTCGAACAATTATACGGAAACAGGTCATGGGAGCCGCCCGGGAGCTGCCTTACTCAAAAAAATACGAGGGAAGCGGCCCCCGGGCGGCTATTACACCTGGGCCGGCACGGAAACGGAAAGAGCGCTTCAGAAACAGAAACCGAAATTACTCACACCACCGTTCGTACTGGGAGCCTTGTCGTTGAGAGCTGGTAACGTGACCCCTCGCTCTTGGGAGCCTTGGTGTTCAGAGATTGTTGCGTTGCCGCCCGTTCCTGAGCCTTGGCTGGGCCTTGGTGTCAGGAACTTGTTACGTCACCGCTCTTGGCTGGGAGCCTTGGTCTCATCAGCTTGTCTACGTCCCCGTTCGCTCTTGGGAGCCTTGGTGTGAAGAGCTTTTTTGCGTTACCGATCGCTCTGTATTTGGCGTCTCTGGGCCTTCTTGGGAGTCCTGTTGGTGCCCTTTTGGAGCCCTTTTGGGGCCTCTTGGGGGCCTCTTGGGGCTTCTTGGGGGGCTCTTGGGGCCTCCTGGGAGCTTCTTGGGGCGAAAAGCTTGACTTTTCGGTTCGTGGTCCCCCTCTTGGGGCCGTCTTGGGGCCCTCTTGGACGCCTCTTGGGCCGTCTTGGGACATTTTTGGGCCGTTTCGGGTGCCTCTTGGGAGCCTCTTGGGCCGTCTTGGGGCGGTCTTGGGGGCCTCTTGTACTGTCTTCAACGCCGTGAAAGTCGAAAAGCCGTCGTGTATGCAAAAACTGTATGTTTTCCGATCGGAAATCCATGATTGTTGCCTCCTGGTGGCTTCTTGGGACGCCTCTTGGGGGCCTCTCGGGGCTTCTTGGGGGGCTCTTGGGGCCTCCTTGGAGCGTCTTCGGGCGAAACGCTTGACTTTTCGGATCGTGGTCCCCCTCTTGGGGCCGTCTTGGGTCTCTCTTGGGCCGTCTCGGGCGCCTCTTGGGCCGTCTTGGGGCCCTCTTGGGGGCCTCTTGGGAGCCTCTTGGGCCGTCCTGGGGCGGTTTGGGGGGCCTCTTGGGCCGTCGTCGACGCCGTGGAGGCCGAAAAACCGCGTATGCTCAAAATGCATGTTTTCCTGAAGATAATCGATTTTGACCTCTTGGGGCCCTCTTGGGACGCCCCTTGGGCGCCTCTTGGGGCGCCTTGGAGGCCTCTTGGGCTGTCTTGGGCGGTCTTGGGTTCTCTTGGAGCGCTCTTGGGCCGTCTTGGGGGGGAACCCGAAAAACATGCAAAAACCCTAAGGACAACCGAAAAACGGCCATCGGGGCCCTCTTGGGCAGTCTTGGGCGCCTCTTGGGCCGCCTGGGGGCCCTCTTGGGCAATTTTGGGGGCCTCTTGGGAACCTCTTGGGCCGTCTTGGGGCGGTCTGGGGGGCCTCTTGGGCCGTCGTCGATGGCGTGAAAGGCGAAAAGCCGTAGATGCTAAACATATACGTTTGCCTCGGGAAAATCAATGATTTTGACCTCTTGGGGCCCTCTTGGGACGCTCTTTGGGCGCCTCTTGGGGGCCTCTTGGGCCGTGTTGGGCGGTCTTGGGCGTTCTTGGAGCGGTGTTCGGCCGTCTGGAGGGAGAACCCGCACAAAATGCAAAACAACCTAGAAAAAAAAAACACCCAAACGGCCATTAACGCAAATCTCCCCACGCTTCGCCCCTCCCCTGGAACCCCTCCCTCTAAGGCTTCGCCCCAACACAATGTCATCGCTCGTACCTCGCTCTTTCCGTTACCTGGCGCGGCACAGAAGCGGAAAAAACGTTTCGGAAACAGAAGCCGAAATTACTCACACCACCGTTCGTACTGGGAGCCTTGACATTAAGAGCTTGTTACGTCACCCCGCGCTCTTGGGAGCCTTGGTGTTGAGAGATTGTTGCGTTGCCGCCTGCGGGAATCAATGATGTTGGCCCCCTGGTGGCCTCTTGAGACGCCTCTGAGTTGCCTATTGGGGCGTCTTGGGGGGCTCTTGGGGCCTCAGGGGAGCGTCTTGGGGTGAAACGCTATACTTTTCTGTTCGTGGCCCCCTCTTGGGGCCGTATTGGGGCCCAAGGCCGTTTTGGGGGCCTCCTGGGAGCCTCTTGGGCCGTTTTGGGGCGGTTTTGGGGGCCTCTTGGGCCGTCGTCAACGCCGTGAAAGCTGAAACGCCGTATATGCTAAACATGCACGTCTTCTTAAGGAACATCAGTGAGTTTGGCCTCTTGGAACCCTTTTGGGGCGCCCCTTGGGCGC